AAAAATTAATTAAATAAATGAATATATGGGGGGAAAAAAAGATAAAAATCAGCCAGGATCCGAACCCATTCCCGAACCCCACATTTCCCTTGTCCCGCCGGGCAGAGGCGGCCGGCGAGGAGGACACGGAGGATCCGGAGGCCGCGGGGGACACGGAGCCCTCGGCGTCCCCGGGAGCGCCGGGCTCGGAGCCGCCCTCGCTGCCGAGGAAAGCGCCCGGGATCGACTTCCAGGGGATGAAGAGGAGGAGGAGGAGCTCTCCCAAAAAACCGTTATCCAACAAACCGCAGGATTTCCAGGTGGGATGAGCTGATCCCGTCCTGGGGGTTGGCCTCGTGATTCCCTGTCCTCTGTGATTCCCTTTCCTGCATCCCATCCCAGATCCCCGTGATTCCTCATCCTCCATCCCATGGGATGATCCCAGTGATTCCCATCCCGGTGATTCCTCATCCTCCATCCCATGGCATGGTCCTGGTGATTTCTTTTCCTCCATCCATTGGGAAAATCCTGGTGATTCCCATCATGATGATTCCTTGTTCTCCATCTCATGCTTGCTCCCAGTGATTCCCTGTTCTCCATCCCATGGCATAATCCTGGTGATTTCTTTTTCTCCATCCATTGGGATGATCCCAGTGATTCCCTGTCTTCCATCCCATCCCAGATCCCAGTGATTCCTTGTCCTCCATCCTGTGGAATGATCCCAGTAATTCCCATTCTGGTGATTCCCTGTCCTCCATCCTGTGGGATCAGGGTGATTCCCTGTCCTCCATCCCATCCCTGATCCCAGTGATTCCCTGTTCTCTATCCCATGATATGATCCCGGTGATTTCTTTTCCTCTATCCCATGGGATGATCTGGTGATTCCCTGTCCCCCATCCTGTGAGATTCAGGTGATTCCATCCCAGATCCTGGTGATTCCCTGTTCTCCAGGGTTCTCCCAGTGGTTCCCTGTCCTCATTCCCATGGGATGATCCTGGTGATTCCCATCCCGGTGATTCCCTGTCCTCATTCCCAAGGGATGATCCCGGTGATTCCCATCCCGGTGATTCCCTGTCCTCATTCCCATGGGATGATCCCAGTGATTCCCATCCCGGTGATTCCCTGTCCTCCATCCCAGATCCGGGTGAAGGTCATCGAGGCCCGGCAGCTTCCCGGGATTCAGATCCGGCCGGTGGTGAAGGTGACGGTGGCCGGACAAACGCGGAGAACACGGATCCGGAAAGGGAACAGCCCCTTCTTCGATGAGGTCAGCAGGAATTCCCACTCCAAGGATTCCTGGGAGAGGCCAGGATATAGAAATCCAGAGGGAAAACTGGGATAACGCCTCATCCTGGTTTTCCACAGACTTTTTTCTTCAATGTCTTCGAGTCCCCATCGGAGCTGTTCGATGCTCCCATTTTCCTCACGGTGAGTGCTGGGAAATCCTGGAATTCTCCCCTTCCCAGGGAAGCACCCCCTGCTCCCCAGGATCCTCGGTCCCAGCAGGATTTGGGTTGGATCACCTATTTTTCCTAATTTTCAGGTCGTGGATTCTCGATCGTTCCGCACGGATTCGGTGATCGGGGAATTCCGGGTAAGATCCCATCCCCTTTTCCGGGCGTTTCCTGCTCTGGATGAACTCTGGAATCTCCTTTTCCTTTAATCCCACAGATGGATGTGGAGACCGTTTACTCCGAGCCAAGTGAGCTTTGGGAAACTCCTTTATTTTTTTTTTTTTAATTTTTTTTTTTTTTGGGAAATGTGCCCACACATCCCCGCTCTTCCCATATCCTTGATCGCAGAATCCCGGGATGGTTTGGGTGGGGAGGGACTTTAAGGATCATCCAGTTCCATCCAGGGAAAAATTCCACTATCCCAGGTGGATCCAAGTCCATCCAGCCTGGCCTTGGACACTTCCAGAGATGGAGCATCCACATTTTCTCTTGGAATTCCATTCCTAAGACCCCTCCCTCTTCCCTGCTCCCTTCCCAGGAAAGGAACTGAAATGTTCCCTTATCCCATTCCATGATTTTCATTTAAACCCCATCCAGGGGCATCCCTGACCTCCCTGTGCATCCAAGGACTAATTCCCAGTTTTCCATGTTTTCCTGCAGAGCACGCTTTCCGCAGGAAGTGGCTGCTCCTCTCGGATCCGGAGGATTTTTCCGCGGGAGCCAAGGGCTACCTGAAGGTCAGCGCCTGCGTGCTGGGGCCTGGAGACGAAGCTCCTGTGAGTATTCCTGCTGGGAATGGGGGCACATTCCAGTCCTGGGATATTCCAGTTCTAGGATATTCCAGCCGTGGGATATTCCAGTTGTAGAACATTCCAGCCCTGGGATATTCCAGCCCTAGGATATTCTGGCCAAGAGCCACCAACCCCAGGGCCACTCCTGGTGTTCCAACCTGGCCCTGGACACTGCCAGGGATACAGGAGCAGCCACAGCAAATCTGGGAATTCCAGCCCAGCCCCTCTCCACCCTCCCAGGCAGGAATTCCTTCCCAAGATCCCAGCCCAATCTCCCCTTTCCCAGTGGGAGCCATTCCCTGGGTCCTGTCCCTCCAGGCCTTGTCCCCAGTCCTATTCCAGCTCTCCTGGAGCCCCTGCAGGGACTCTGAGCATTCCCTGGAATTTTCCCTTTTCCAGGGGAACATTCCCAGCTCTCTCAGAGCAGAGGGGCTCCAGAATCCTGGAACGGTCTGGGTTTGGAGGACACCATAAATCCCATTCCATGTTCAGGGCCACCTCCCACTATCCCAGGTTGCTCCAAACCCCCTCCAACCTGACCTCGGACACTCCCAGGGATGGAAAATCCCTCCAGACTCTCTCTTTTGGGGATTTTCCTGCTCATTCCCGAATCCGGGGTGACTTTTCCCGTTGTCCTCTTCCCACAGCTGGAGAAGAAGGAGGCGGCCGAGGACAAGGAGGACATCGAGGCCAACCTGCTGCGCCCCACTGGGGTCACCCTCCGGGGGGCCCAGTTCTGCCTCAAGATCTTCAAAGCCGAGGATTTGCCCCAGAGTAGGTTTTCCCTTGGGATCCCTCGGAATCGCAACATTCCGGGCGGGAATTAGCGCCCGGAGAAGGGAACAATCCAAGGGAGAACCTCAGTCCAAGGATACCAGGCAGTTTTATGGGAGAGGAGTTTCTTACTGGTCCAAGCTGGTTTTGTCTTCCTGCTTTTTCCACCTGGAGAGCGCCTCCTCCATGGGAATCGCGACATTCCATGCAGGAATTAGCACCTGGAGAAGGGAACCATCCATGGGAGAATCTCAATCCGTGGATACCAGGCAGTTTTATGGGAGAGGAGTTTCTTACTGGTCCAAACTGGTTTTATCCCCCTGCTTTTCCGCCTCCTCCATGGGAGTGCTCATCTCGCTGGTGGGACAGCTGGGAGCCTCTGGATGCTGCGGAATTCCAGGAATTTTGGCATCTCCCTCTTTTCCCAGTGGATGACGCCGTCATGGACAACGTCCGGCAGATCTTCGGCTTCGAGAGCAACAAGAAGAACCTGGTGGATCCCTTCGTGGAAGTCAGCTTTGCTGGGAAAACGGTCAGCGGGGCGGGATCCTCCGGATTCCGGGAATGGCAGCGGGAGGAAGCCGGGATTGGGATGGCAGTGGGGCGTTCCCGGGGCTGGGATAACAGCAGGATGATCCTGGGATTGGGAATGGCAGTAGGACATTCCCTTCCAGGTCCTTGGGATTGGGATTTCAGTGGGATATCCTTGAGGTTGGAATGGCAGCGGGATATTTCCTCCCAGATTTTTGGGATTGGGATAGCAGTGGGATATCCTTGAGGTTGGAATGGCAGTGGGATATTCCATCCCAGATCTTTTGGATTGGGATTTCAGTGGGATGTCCTTGAGGCTGGAATGGCAGTGGGATATTCCCTCCCAGATATTTGGGATTTCAGTGGGATGTCCTTGGGATTGGGATGGCAGCAGGACATTCCCATCCAGATTTTTGGGATTGGGACAGCAGTGGGATGTCCTTGGGATTGGAATGGCAGCAGGGTGTTCCCGGGGCTGGGATAACAGTGAGATGATCCTAGGATTGGGAATGGCAGTGGGACATTCCCTCCCAGATCCCTGGGATTGGGATTTCAATAGGATGTTCTTTGGTATTGGGATTTCAGTGGGATATCCTTGAGGCTGGAATGGCAGTGGGACATTCCTCTAAAATAACTGGGATTGGAATTTCAGTGGGATATCCTTGGGATTGGGATGGCAGCAGATATTCCCACCCAGATTTTTGGGATTGGGATGGCAGCAGGATGTCTTCAGGGCTGGAATGGCAGTGGGACATTCCCTCCAGATCTTTGGGATTGGGATGGCACTGGGATGTCCTTGGGGCTGGAATAGTAGTGGGATATTCCCTCTCAGATATTTGGGACTGGGATTTCAGTGGGATGTCCTTTGAGCTGGAATGGCAGTGGGACATTCCCTGTGGATCCCCAGGCCTGGTCCTGGAATGAGGGAATTTTCTCCTGGAAGGGGGTAAATGTGATCCTGCTGATCCCAAGGTGGGAGGGTCCTTAGGAAATCTGAAACATCCTCTGCCTCCTGCACCAGGGGGTTTAGGAACCCCACGGAATGGAAGATGGATTTTGGGGAATCTCAGGCTGGATTTTAGGGAACCTGAGACTGGATTTTGGGAAAACTGAGGCTGGATTTGGAGGAATGTGAACCTCAAGCTTTGGGAATCTAAGGACAAATTTTAGGGAATTGGGGGCGGGATTTTGGGGAATCTGAGGCGGGATTTTGGGGAATCTGAGGCGGGATTTTGGGGAATCTGAGGCAGGATTTTGGGGAATCTGAGACGGGATTTTAGGGAATCCAAGGCCAGATTTTAGGGAATCTGATGCCTCCCAACTCCATGGATTGGGCCAAGAGCCGCTTTCCTGGGACAGCACCAACTTTTCCCTCTTCCCATCCCTCCCTTCCAGCTCTACTCCCGGATCCTGGAGAAAAACGCCAACCCCCAGTGGAACCAGTGCCTGACGCTGCCGGCCATGGTGAGCACCGGTGTCCCCCAGGTCCCTTCCCGGTGTCCCCAAGGCCCCCTCCCGGTGTCCCCAGTGCCACTCACCCTCTTCCCGTCTCCCTTTTCCCAGTTCCCTTCCATGTGCGAGCGGATGAGGATCCGTGTGACCGACTGGTGAGCGGGAAGGGCATTCCCAGTGCCCGGAGGGGTGGGATGGGCATGGGGACATCCCCTGGGGACATCCCCCTCCTCCCTCCGTGGTCCCCAAAGTGATGATGTCACCTCACAGGGACCGTCTGACGCACAATGACGTCATCGGCACCGCTTTCCTGGGAATGTCCAAGATTTCGGCCCCTGGCGGGGAGCTGGAGGGTAAGGGCGGGAAGCAGGCCGGGATTTGGGATGCATGGCCTTGGAGGAGCTGCATGGCGTGGCTGGAGGTTGGTGGTGGCCTTGGGGATGTCACAGCTGTCACTGTCCCCACCTGGGGACACGGGATGGGGTCCCACGATCGCTCTGAGCTGTGTGTGCTTTCCAGATGGATCCAACGCCTTTGGATTTAGGATTTGGTGATTTAGGATTCTTGGGAATGGGGCTATGGAGGAGCTGGAGGTTGGTGGTGGCGGCTTTGGGGACGTCACAGCTGTCACTGTCCCCACCTGGGGACACAGGATGGGGTCCCACAATCACTCCGAGCTGTGTGTACTTTTCGGATGGATCCAGCCCCTTTGGAATTAGGATTTGGTGGATTCTTGGGAATGGGAGAGGGAAGTTACAGGTCCATGGTGTGGCTGGAGGTTGGTGGTGGCCTTGGGGACGTCACAGCTGTCACTGTCCCCACCTGGGGAACACGGGATGGAGTCCCACGGTCACTCCGAGCTGTGTGCACTTTCTGGATGGATCCAACCCCTTTGGATTTGGGATTTGGTGGATTCTTGGGAATGGGGGAAGGAAGCTGCGGGTCTGTGGCATGGCTGGAGGTTGGTGACACGTTATGGTGGTGGTGGTGGCACCGCTGCTGGCAGAGGCCACGTCCCCCCTGTGGCCCCTCTGAGGTGACATTTAAGGGCTGCCACAGAGTGGGAATTCCCATCCAGCGCGTTCCAAATCCCGGGAATGTTCTGATTTTAAGGACCCCCAGGCATGGCAGGGCTCAGCTGGGCGTCACTGTCACCAGTGCCAGGTGGGAGGGTGGGAATTTGGGACATGGCTTTGGAGCTTCCACCTGCATGAGCTTTTCCTGCTGCCAGCGCTTCCATGGAATCCACGATCCCAGCGGGAATTCCGCACTTGGCTTTGAGCTGTGGGGACACGGGATGGCCATGCTGGAAAAAGCTTGGAGCACCCTGGGATGGTGGTTTGTGTCCCTGCCCATGGAATGGGATGAGCTTTAAGGTCCTTCCAAGCCATTCCATGATTCCATGGATCAGGATATGATCCAGTGGCTCTGCCTGTGTCCCACCCCCGGTACTGTCCAGTCCCCTCTTCCCAATCCCAACACAGATCCTGGGATGGGCTGGAGAGAGAGAGAGAGAGAGAGAGAGGCTGGGAGGGAGGATGGGAATGGGAGGATCCAGGATTGGCATCTCCCTTCCCACCACTGGGATCTGCTTGATCCTGAAGAAACGTCTGGGAATGCAACTCAAGGATGCTCCAATCCTGCTCCACCTCAATCCCACATCCTCTGGAATTGGCCAAGGCCAGGTTGGAATGACCTGGGATAGTGGGAAGTGTCCCTGGATGCACCTGGATGGGCTTTAAGGTCCCTTCCCACCCCAACCATTCCATGATTCCTTGATTCCACGATTCCATGTTTCCATGATTCCATGACAAACCTCTCCCTTTCTCTCTCTGTCTCTCTGCACTAAACCCTGTGGGAATCCCCACCCTCATTCCCATCTCCATCCCTTTTCCATGCTCCCCTTCCAACCTTTCCCAACCTCTCTCCCTCTCTTTGTGCCTCAGATGAGTTTCCTGCTCCTGCGAAGCCTCTGAATCCCTCGGACCGTACGTTCCCAGTAACATCCCAGTTTTCCAGCGCTTCCCGGGACTGGTTTTACTGGTTCCACTCTCTGGACTGGGGGAGGATCAGCCGGGATGAGTTGGGCACCTTGGGAAAAGGGAATGGCTCCGCTTTGGCCCTTTGAGGATTCCCGGGATGCCGTCGTGTCTGGAATGCAGAGTCAGCCAGGCACATGGAGCTCAGGGCAGGATTCCCACTCAAAATTCCATTAAAACGAGTGGTTCTCCTCATGGAATCACAGGATTGGAAAATCCTTCTGATCCATTGGCTGCCGAGGCCACCCCTTATCCATGTCCCCAAGTGCCACATCCACAGGCGTGTTCAATCCCTCCAGGGATGGGGACAGCCCTTTCCAGGAAGGAATATTCCCAAAATTCCAACCTAAACCTCCCTTGGCACATCCTGAGGCTCTTTCCTGTCTCCTGTCACTCTTACTCATGTCTGACCCCTCTCTGACCTCACCTTTTTCCATGGGGATTATTTCTGGGATTGGGAATTCCCAGGATTCAGCACCACACCCTTTCTGTATCTTTCTGCTGCTCCAAGGTGAGGTCATGGGATTCAAAACGGGTGGAAATTCCAGGATTTTGGTGGCTTGTGTGATCCCCGTGATCCTACAGTGAGCGTGACACTTTCCCAAGGTGCCTCCAGGAATCCCTAATCCCTCTTTTCCCTGCCATTCCCAGTGGATGACGGGCTGGGATTCCTGCCGACCTTCGGGCCCTGCTACATCAACCTGTACGGCAGCCCCCGGGAATTCACCGGATTTCCCGATCCCTACGAGACGCTCAATTTGGGAAAGGTGACATCGGCTGCTTCCCGGCACATCCCAAAATAACTCTCCGGCTCCTCTTTTCCCAAAAAATGCTTCTTCTAACCCATCCTGGCTTTGTCATCAGGAGCCTGCACTGCGTTTCCCGCTCCCGCCTATTCCCGCTAATGCCTCCCGATCCCGCTCTGCTCCCAAAATTCCTCCTTGGAAGTGCCGGCTGGAATTCTTTGCCTGATCTCGCTGCTGTGCAATGAAGCTCCTGGGAAGCAAAGGCCTCGGGAAGGGAATTTTGGGATCCTGACGCCTGTTCCTGGTCTATCCCAAGGGCGAGGGGGTCGCGTATCGGGGCCGGATCCTGGTGGAGCTGGAGACCAAACTGGTGGAGCACATGGAGCAGAAGGTGGAGGAGATTCCTGCGGATGACATCCTGAGGGTGGAGGTATTGGAATTTCCAGAAAATCTCTGGGATCGGCACGTGGGACGCTATAGAAGGGATGTTGGCCATGGGTTGGGGTTGTCCCATGGTCTGTGAGCTCCTGGAGGGGTTTCCAAACCTCCCTGGGTAATTCCAATCCCTGACCACCCTTTCCATGAGGAAATTCCTGCTGGTGTCCAACCTGAGCTTCCCCTGGCACAACCTGAGGTTGTTCCCTCTTTTTCCATTATTCCCTGGGGTCAGATCCCAACTCCCACCTGGTTCCAACATTCCAGGGAGTTGTGCAGAGCCACAAGGTCCCTCTGGATCCTCCTTTTCTCCACACTGAACCCCTTTCCCTCAGTTTTGCCTGGTTCTCCAGCCCCTTCCAAATTCCCTCACTTTTTCCTGATTCTCCAGCCTTTCCCCAGTTCCCTCAGCTTTTCCTGGTTCTCCAGCCCTTCCCATTTCCATCAGCCATTCCTGGTTCTCCAGCCCCTTCTGAATTCCCTCACTTTTTTCCTGATTCTCCAGACCCTTTCCCACCTCCCTCAGCTTTTCCTGGTTCTCCAGCCCCTTCCAAATTCCCTCACTTTTTCCTGCTTCCCAGGATTTACCCTCCAGCCTCTTCCCACTCAACCTCCCGGAGATCATGGTCAGCATCTCCTCCACGTCCCAATTCCCGTTCACATTCCAGAAATACCTGCGCCGACGGAAATATTCCCTCTTTGCCGCCTTCTACTCGGCCACGATGCTCCAGGGCGTGGACGGCGCCGTCCAGTTCGAGGTCAGCATCGGGAATTACGGCAACAAGTTCGACAACACCTGCCTGCCCCTGGCCTCCACCACCCAGTACAGCCGGGCCGTCTTCGATGGTGAGCGCGGCACGGATTCCGTCCTTCGGGATGATCCAAACCCGGCTGGTGGGAGAGAATCCTGGAATCGTGGAATGGTTTGGGTTGGGAGGGGCTTGAAGGTTGTTCAGTTCCATGGGTATGGGAGTGTTCCATTGTCCCAGGTGGATCCAACC